GTATCTGTTGCATTTATGTGTGTGTGCAGTGTCCAAGAGTTTATCTGTTTCCTCTTCCTGCTCTCTATCATCTAGTCACATTCCAAAGCCATGACCTCCCCTTTTTATTACCAGAAGGCTCATGTCTCGATTTATTGTCTCTTCTCTGTGACTTTCTTTCTTTCTTTTACATTTATTTAACCAGTAAAACTGAAACTTACAAGAAGAAGATCAAAGCATGTTTAAAATCCAAAATTCTCAGCCATTCACTCACTCAATGCTCAAGGTCAAAGGCCATGTCTTAGATATCCCAGCAACGTTTTTTTTTTTTTCCAGAAGTGTCAAACATCATGGTCATTTGTTCAGTATATCAGTCTCACCTCCTGAAACGCTCAACTCTTTTAAGATGGAAGGTGATGATTTTCTCCATCAAACATTACCCTTCAGAAGAGGGCACTCAGCACCACTTACTGAATTCTTTACAAAGACAACACGCAAACACATGCCTATATAATCCCTCTTTACATACCCTCTCCCCCCTGTGTAGCATGCCTTTGTTTTTGCTTGTGTAAAATTACAGTTGTACAGGTGTACAGCCAGCAAAGCAATGCTGACAGACGGGCATGCAAGAGGACAGCCAAGCACTTGTGTTCACCACAAAGATCTTTCTTGTCTTACAACTGGCTGTCCTGCCCAACATGTGGCTTTGGTTTCAAAACCCGCTCTTCTAGCAGGAACCCCCTTCATCTCCCCGAGGAACACAGAGGACGATAGAAGGTGCTTTCCAAGATGAGCGGCAAAGTGGCTTCCTCTTTCAAAGGTCTGTGGATGTACATAGCTCATGGATTCCTGTGTTAGCTGTGAGATAGCGCAGCACCTGGAGAGCCCAGACAGGAAGAAAGGACAAAAGACAAGAGGAGAGAGATTATAAAAAAAATTGAGAGAAGCCGCTTAGATGCAATGCCAGAGAAGGGACCAGCTCTCTCAGATTTCAAATGTCTGTCGGGTGAAATTGTGGTTTCAAATGCTAACAACCTGACTGTCTTCCCACCACTACATCCCTCATCCTGCACTCATCATCAGCATATCATGAAATGTAAAGATTAGCGCTCTCACAGAGGTGACTATTGTGAATTCAAGTCTCACCAGTAGGCTTTTGACAAACCACCCATCCTGGGATAAAGCAGTATTATACTTTATTATGCTAGAAAATAAGCTTATCTTTCAAGCCAACTGTAAAACAGAAAATGTGTGTTTATAACACATACAGAGACAAATGACACAAAAGGAAATGTCTGCTCTAGAAGCTTGGGAGAGGACTAAAACAAAGGGCATTTGATGACTGACACATCCAGAAAGTCCCCCTGCCAATCTTGCACACAATCCATTTCCTCAAGCCAAAGTGTTCTCATTGTGTGTTGAATATGTTTTGGAACATGCTGGCCATTGATTGACATGGGCGCAGGGGCTGGTAAAACATTACTGTGGTGTGAAGCAAACAACAGCCCGTCTGTCACTCTGCCTCAGATGTTTGGCCTGAGGGGGTATACTGATATAATAGTGGTGCAGAAATCTGGACATTCTCTATCTGTTCTCGTTCCCTTTCGCTCCTTCTAGCCACTCTAAAATTATTATTGGTATTTGTATTTTTGCCCTTGAATTATCTTTCAACTCTCAACCTGATCATCTGTCTACTCTCTAAAATGACCCGCTGTAAGTCTCTCTCTTATTGCACGGTCTTCTTGTGTTTCAACACGACACATTCTGCCTTCAGATTTCCTTTATGACCAGTTTTCATCAGCTGATTTGGCCAAGTGCTGTTTTGGTGTTGTATCGTGTTTTAAGGCCACACTGACAATGAAGGCAGTCACCCAAGAAGCTATAGCCACCAATTATAAGCTCCCATAAAAGTGCCAGTCCACCAAATTCTCATCTGATTTTTCCTGTTTGGGAGAACAAGCGATAAATGTTGTCATGTTTAATAATAATCAGCATAGTAATGTTGACAAAACCATGTCGATACAGTGATAATTGTCCCCGTTTTAGGTTTTACAGTAGACCGTACATGTAGTTTTTATGTCAGTACTATGTAGAACAATGATAGTGACATATTTATACTTGTTTGGGATATTGAAACTTCCTTTTTCTCCTCAAACAGTTGGAAGGCATAGTAGTGACATCCAGTGCGAGTCAGCACCTTGCACCTTTCTGTTTCCAAAGAAAAACAACAAAAAAAATGCTGTATATATAAAATGTCCTGATACTTGTGTATTTCCAAAATGTCATATAGATTGATTCAACACTGGCATTACAATTTTAATCAGTGGTGTAGAACCAGGTGTTAAAATGCATGCAGCGGCCCTCCAGGCCATAAGAGATTGGACAAGGTACCAGGAAATTGTGTCTCCTCCAGAAACAAGTGTTTTGTGATTGTTTATCCCATGTCTTTAAATTGCATTTCTTCCTTTTTAATTTAACCACCTCAGCTATGAGATTGAAGGAGGGAGCGAGGGGGGGTAGAAGGGATGGGGAAACCTTTTCCACAATTTTTTTCTTTTTCTATCCCTCCATCTCTCCAGTATTAACCCTGTCTGATGTGATTCCTGTCAAATGCAAATGTCACGACCTGGTATGGTCAGCCCACAGGGCATGGTGACTACATGCTCCACATCCAAATTAAAATATGAAGTTGAATGGGGTGTGTTTGTGTGTGTGCCTTTAAAGTGCGCGTGCTACTTGTGTGTGTTTGTGTATGTTTGACGGGTTGATCTTGACAAACTTGCAATTACAAAAACCATAAGCAAAAACAAGATTGCTCTGAGAACAAGGAGAAATGGAGTGTGCTAAATAAAGTACAGCTTTCAGAATGCAACACCAATTTTCACAGTATGTATGTGAACATGTGGTTTAATGAATAGATGTGAAAATGCAGGACTTTAGAAACTGCTGTGCACACAAAATTCAAATTTACACAAAAGTAAAGAGCTGTGGTATAAATGATGATTTTAGCATTGTCTACAATTCATTCCATGTGTGTTCTCTTTCATTTCCAAAGGACTACAATTTCAAGGTGTCTCATTGAATGACAGTACTCCAGCATAATTAGCACTTCATCACATACACAGACAGTGGACAAATGAAAACAAAAATACTTATTTGGGGGCAGCCAGGCTTTTATGCTTTGTCCTAAACTACTGTAACTAACTGGATGGTTTACTTTGAAATTCACGTTTTATCATGTTTAATGAATTTTAATAACATTCTATCTATACATGGAACTTTTATTTGAGTTTCTTCTGTACTCGCATCCACTTAAGAGTCACTACTGCAAAATATTCCTTATTCTCACATATTTCTACCTCATACGTAGTCTCATTTCACACTGCTTCACATTGAGAAGAAGGTACTCAATCAAACATTAACTAAAGTTATTTTTAAGAAGAACATGATAATAAAGAGTCTCTGCTGACACTAATCTTACATTTGAATCTAAGAACAGTAAACGGTTGCTGGCACATACACATCGCACAACTGAATGACACCTGACACATCAACCCAGCATCACGCAGCATGAATGCAAAAAATGTATTTGCAACACGCATGCAAAACATCTGTTTAGTAAATGAAATTTCATAGTTTCAATGTGTTATGAGTCATTATTGTTATGGATATTTTTATATAGAGGTTCCTTTTTTCTTTTCTTTTTTTCTGCCGGGTATTTATAAAGTATACACTTGTGGCTACAGCTGCAAATAAGAAGGCAGTAGCTGCTGTGTGTAGGACCAAAGGAGAAGTTATTCCTACTTTTTAGCAGACTCAAAATGGTGCCAAGCTCTTTACACAATAGTGGAATGGGTGAAAGTGCAGTTAGTTGTATTATATGGTCTATAAGAACTGTATCTGTAACTCTGCATGCACACACACACATGTATTTATGCTGGCATAGGCATGTGATTGAGAAGATGTACTGAAATATTCAAGCATTGTTTATTCTGAAATACAGTATCTTTAAATGTACTGTGAGGTCTTTTCCACTAGAGGGAAGCATATCATCAGTTATGAAGAGCCATTACATTTAAATTCCTGGGCACTTACATCAGTGGCCACATATCAAGGAACTGCAACAAAGACTGTACTTTTCGACATGTCAGTCAAGATCCTCAGCAACTTCTACAAATGTTTAGTGTAGAGTGTCCTAACAAACACCATAACAGTGTGGCATGGTAACTGCACCACACGTGATAGGAAAGCTTTCTAGCGTGTGATAAAAAAGCACAAAACATATCCACTGTTTTGAATGCCAACAATGAAAAAGGTGTACACAAACCATGTTTCTCATATGTTTGATTCAAACACAAAACATCAGCAGTGCTACACCTTTACTATAAAAAAGCAAGCACCTAGCAACTGGCTTGTCATTATTTTACTGTACTGTTAAACATTTCTTTCAGAGTATTTTACTGTTAACTGGTGCATTTAAAAATACATTTTATTGCTGTTTTTAGAGTATCTTATAGTTCTTAATCTTACATTTGACTGGGTTTTTGGTTTTTGGTCATATGATTAATGATCAATTTTGTTTCAGTAGATCATATTCCTGAATCACCTGTGTTTAACCAGATGGAAATACTCCAATTCCAATTCAGTAATATCCCAGGACCTGTCATGCCCATTTACATCTGAATGCCATTCACTGAAGACTGTTTTGAATGAAAACACCTAACTAGCTAAACATAACTTTACCACCCACAGGCTTGCAGCTGGTTTGCATAAAATAACCAGCTCAGTGTCCACACACCTACACAAATGTGGTGACAAGATCGTATGCAACGTTACAATGGCAAGCTCCTTAATATTTTAATTATGTTTTTCCTTCTCTAATAAACACGTCAAGAAAATAAAAATGTACTATCAAAGACACACCTGCCGGTAGAGGGCAGTTGTGCACAGAGGTGTAACGGCTGACACAGAGATTTAATTATAACGGGCAGCACAACCTTGCAATGGATGCATTGATGCAAATGTGGCGTGGTGACGTCATCACACGCAAATTGACGCGCGGCGTCATCAAGCGACATTTGGAGACTTTTCAGGAGGTTTTAGCTAATTTCCATTGAAAGTAGTTGGCAACAGTGGACTCGTGGTTCCATTAGCATTCCTAGCTAACAAACTGGTTGGGGGACGCGGTGTGGAGGAAGAAGGCGTCTTGTGGTCAGAAAGATTTCGGCGACTTCAAATATCCCCAGCTAATCCTTATCCTCCATGCTGTCCGAGAAAGGAAGATAACGTTAATAACACTGCACTGCCACTCAATTAGTTACCGTTCAAGACAGATAACGGGGGGACGGGACGGCATTTTGAATCTTCTGCTGAGATACGATTTCTGTTTTGAATATTAAGGCTATAGTTGCAGCCTGGAGTAGCGTTACTTCTTGTAAGAATGAGGTTACCGAGTAAGAGACAATGTTCGATGGAAGGTAATGAAAAGAAGATGGACCAAGCTCCTCCGTTCAGAAACCCGTTTGTGCACGTCTTGAAATTCACCCCCCTGCAAAAGGCAAAGGTAATATTTATGTTTGGCTGTCAGATTGTTTGCTTTGGTACGGATACCCTGACATTAGTAGTTTGCAGAGCATTAACACTTGAGCGCGACACAGTGGGAAGCTGTCACCATCATTTAACTTGGTAGTTTTTCCTGATTGCATGTAGTCAGCCGAGCTAGTGTTAGCCAGCTAACACTAGCGACATACATATTGCGCCGGTTTTGCTGCCTAGTGATGAGGAAAATGTTTATCCACAACTATGGTGTGCATTTCACACGTGAGTTTATAAAGCATGAAAATCAACCAGTCTCACCCAGATATCCGCTAACAATTCACTAAGATGAAAGAGTCATCTGAGCATGGCCCCCTGCCTATGATGGGCCTAGCTTGTTGCTCTTTAACTGTTATCATAGCTGGTAGAAACCAGCATGTTTGTGGTAGCTTTCTACCAAGATGTCACATTTTCACTGGAATAAATGTCCACATTTATTTTAGACACGTAACCGTTTCTCCCTTCTCTTACATTTTCCTTTGCTTTGTTGGTTATCACAGCAGCCATCACGTGTGGATGTGGAGGGTGGGATGGAAAACTGATTGTCATGGTCATTTTTCCTCATCTGTCGTGGTGTTTCCCCAGATGATAAAGTTAACGCGTTTTGCTAGTCCTGTTTAAAATAGACCAGTCCCCTGGTTGTACAATTTTGCAGCACATACATGCAGCCCAGCTATCCTTCATGGCGTTAACTTGCCTGTTACTTCAGCCATATTTTTAAGCTGCATTGCTCAAAAACTATGAATTGAACTATGTAATTGGGATGCAGCATGCACAGACATAAGGCAGAAATTTTGAAAGCTTCCTGATCGGTTGGAATTTTTTTTTTTTTCAGTTGACAGATGCCAGGGAAAGTACAAAGTTGTAGGCAAACACTATGTAATTACAGATTAGGCAGATGTGGATAGATTACAGTCATGTGTCTGAGTTTTCTTTTACCGGTAAATAAAATGTATCTAACAACTTTGAGAGCAATACTGGTGTAATGTTGAAAAATGTGTAATGTGATGGCAAATCAACAAACCTCTTCATTTTTATAACTGCCGTCATTTTTAGCCCGACATATTCCCATCTTTTTAAAACAATCTAGTTAAACAAGTAATACAGCCATGAAGATATCTACAGTGTCCCTGAAATATAATAAAATAAAGAGCGAAGTAACAGAACTTGTCAGTAAACCCAGTTTTACACAGCTACATCGTTTTGACTTGCCTGACATTTGAAATCTCGATTTTTCTGGTTGCATTTGACTTAAAGGTCATGAAATATGACAGAGAAACTGAAAATGACTGAAAGTGATGATACCCTTTGACTTCAACATTCTCTGCTGGAAGTAAGCCGAGGTTTTGTGAAGGGTCAGTGTAGTCCAGAAATACAGCACTTTATCAGTTGTGAGTTCCATTAAATATACATTTCAGCAGTTTTCTTACCACTGATTTGAATATCTGGTCTGATGAGGAGTTCAGCTGCTGTGTAGCTGGAGATGAGGTCTAGATAATCTACTCTGGTGCTGACCTCTCCTTGAGTGATATTGACCCCCAAGTTGTGTTTAACATTTTTGAAATTGGGAAGAAGAAGGCTGTCACAGTGCACTGGTGCCCTCTAGAGAGGAGGTCGCACGCTGGCACAAACACACATACACCACGTTCACTTTATTCATTTTGTGCCACCAAGCTGGTAAAATAAAGTTGTTGGTCGTGTAGACAGCAGGATCTTTGCACCACTTTTGCGCCACCAGATTTCATTTACTCATAGTGTTTAAGGTACCAGTTCAGTTACCAAATGTTTGGTCTGAATTCTTTTTTTTTTGTCTGGTGTAAACTGCAAATCAGCCCCCCCCTTCCCCATCTTTACAAAGATGGCGTGGTTTATTTTAACAGAGAACATTAAAGCCGTCTATGCTGCTGCGATGTGAGAGTAGGCCAGTGTGTGCTGAGGGGAGTCTATTTTTGGGGAAGTTGTTCCAAGCTCGCTTGCATTTTCCACTCTCGTGCTCATTTCATTGACTAGCCAGTTGGCTGTGTAAATATAGGTTCTTTTTAGGAAACATGGGAAAAGTAAAGGAATAAAAGTGACAGCATGTTTACTGGTTGCATATAAAACACTGGCACATGCTGTTGAAGGTTATTACCGAATTACAGCTCTTAAATTTATAATGAATCTGTAAAGACTTGTCTCTTTTAAAGTGAGGAAAAGCCTGATTGTTGGGTTCCTGTTTGTAGGTATCACTAAAGCATATAAAGTGATATTTCTGACAACTCTATCAATCTCATAAGGAATTGTGTTGAGTTTTAACAATCCCTATGCGTCTAGCGAATTGTAAAGGCCAACATTTTAAATGTTGAGCATTCATGCTCACTAGTTGGCCCCACGAGAACATGCACCATATAAATAGGAGGGTATGTTTACTTTCCTCCTGCTATCTGCTGTTTCGGTACCTGCTACTACAGATGCCGGTTAGCTGGCCCTCAGGCTAGATGTCGTTTCAAGGTAAACAGCTCATCAAGATGAATGTCAGATTTTGGAGGATAGCAATTGACAGCTTGAGCTAACATTTTCTGCCACAAGGAGAACATTTGCATGTTACAGTGGTTTATATCTTGACCTACAGTAGGCGTTAAATGGATAGATATTTCCAAGTTAATGTAACAACATTGACCTTAAACTGAACATACTGACAGGATGATGGCTCCTTGTTATTTCAGGCAATTTATAACCCACAACTTACCAATGGAGGAGAGTAGGCATATATTCTCACTTGATTTATTTCTCTCAGAACAGGGACACCAAATGGCCACAACAGTGTGTGTGTGTGTGTGTGTGTGTGTGTAATTACAACATTTTGCATTATGCACAGATGATGGAGACCTCCACACATATATACATGAGCACTGGGATATCTTAATCTTTCAAACTAGGGCTAGTTTTAAATTTGGAGACTCATGTGGGCCCTTCCTAGTTCACCTCACATGATTTCTCAGAATAGCTCAAATGGTTAATGTGTGTGTGTTCAGCCTGATCCTGATTCATAGAAGCATATGTTTGTTGAGTAACAGGGATTCAGATGAGGTTTTACAGCCATACTGTATGCCTCCACTGAACACTGTATACTATTCATAATGTTTAAATGTGCAGTACATCTACAGTGGAAAGGAATTAATTAATAAACCAAAAAATATAACTAAATGCCAGTATGCATTCTAAAATTGTTTGGTATTGTTGCTTGACTCTTGTCCCCTAGACCAGTGGTCCCCAACCTTTTTATCACTGCGGACCGGTCAACGCTTGACAATTTTACTGCGGCCCGGGGGGGATGCGTAGATTGTTTATATTGTAAATATAATAATAATTGTGAATTCACTGTGTACTTGTATGCAACTTTATTAGCAGCTTCCTCGTAACATTGCGCCACCAACATAACATGACTATAAAGTCTCAGTTTTCAGTGCTGTGGTGGTGATCTCAGGGTATTCTGTCATGACTTTAATCCAGAACACCGGCAGAGTTGTTGTCTCGAACATACTTTTAAGGCCGCCGTCATTTGCGATCTCCAGCAGTTGATCTTCTTCTTGCACAGACCTGCTGGATTCACCTGGTTTGTTGACAAATGGGTTGCGGATCCATTCCTTGGCAGTTCGTGGGTCCTTTGTGGTTGGGAAGTAGCGCTCGAACTCTTTTAAAAGCAAAGACAGGTGATCGTGCACCAGCTGGGAGAATGAAGGCTCAGGCTCAGTCTCACCCAAAATCCCCACTAATGTTTGAAACATGTCCAAAATGCCTCTGTTGACGCGCCGTCCCCACAAATCCAGTTTGGCTTTAAATGCAGCTACTTTATCTGCCAACTTGAAGACAGTTGTCATTTTCCCCTGAAGTGACAGATTGAGTTCATTGAGCAGGCTGAATATGTCGCACAAGTAAGCCAGTTTTGGCGCTCAAGTGACCGAGATGTAACCGAGAGAATGCGGTCATTTTTCAAAATAAAAGATCGTTCAGACTCAGATAATAAATAAAACGGAAATAATTAATGATTTCTTGTACGGCCCGGTACCAATTGATCCACGGACCGGTACCGGTCCGCGGCCCGGGGGTTGGGGACCACTGCCCTAGACCTCTAAGATAAATACATAAAGGTTGCTGTTTGATTGGCATCCAGCAGTGCAAACGGTTATCATATACAGTAGAGTAGTATATCTCATATATATTAGTAAACAATGTAGAATTGGGACTCAACTTTGAGGTATTTTCAGTAACAGTTTAATCTAATGGAAGAGCCACAGTTTTATGAATGGTACTCCTCTGGTATAGCAGGTCAGAGAAGGTATCTTGTTACAAGAAAGGAGGTTCATACACATTTTGCTCCTGGCTGCCTTGACAGTGATTGTGTGGATAGTTAGACTGTCAGACAATAGCAAAGAGGTGAATAAAATCGAGGAAGTTAAAATTAAGGAAGTTACTAATTGAAGAATACATTTTCTTATTTATACTGATGAGATTCTACCGCAGATCAAGATTTGCAGAAGGTTTGATTTTGACAGATCGACCAAAAATAAATGGTCAAATATTACACACCAGTACAGTGGCATTTACTGCAGTTGTCATGTTTATGGCCAAAAATAGTGGCACCCCTGCTCTGTCAGGTAACACACCATTTGTCCCACAGAAAAGCAGAGGGGACAAAAAAAAGCCAAATCTGATGCATTCCACACACAACTCCACAAACGGACTGGACAAAATTATTGACACCCTTTACTTAATATTTGGTAGCACGCTCCTTGTACAAAATAATTGAAATCAGTCACTTCCTCGATTAAAGGAGTGTCACATGCTTGAAATAGAACTATTTTTGATCATTTTAAAATGGTGTCAATAATTCTGTCCAGCCCATTTTGGAGTTTTGCGTGTAATGTATCAGATTTGACATTTTTTTTCCTCTGTTTTTGTGTTTGTTCCAATGCAAACAAAAGAAATAAACATCAGGGAGAAAGGCGTGGGAGTTAGTAGTTTTGGCCGTGTGTGTGTGTGTGTGTGTGTGTGTGTGTGTGTGTGTGGAGCCATAAGCCATTGTAAATATACAATGCTGAATGACTGTAACTGAATGGCATGATATGGCTCAGGATCGTTTCACATTTACTGTCACGTTTTATCAGATCAATGCGGCACATCAGAGCATGCTTGGTGTTGGATCATAAAACTGTTGCCTGTAAATGCAGGCTAAAGACCTGGAAGCTAATAGGCTGAAGCTGAATTAAAAACTATCCTTTCTGTAGTGAGCCTGACTCTGTGCATTACAGCATACAATCAAGAGTAACTGGAGACGGTTTACTTCGTTGCTAACCTGCAACTTTTATTTTATTTTTTTATGCAGATATTTGTTTAAGTACCACATTAGTCACTTGCCCAATCTTTGCCCAAATCCATAGGCTATCCTGTAATTCAGTAGCCTGACATTTCAGTGCACATAAAGACATGCTTTCAGTTTTGTCTCTCGAGCTGACTAGCATAGTCTTAATGCGGGACTGTATTGTTGTTGTTACCACACCGAAAATAGACTTGAGCCCTGTTTAGGTTAATAAGGTTTTAGAGGACACAGTGCTAACATAAGAGTTAATTTAATTCCCAGCATATCTGTGAAAACCCTAATTTATATTCTTGTGTGATTTATTGGGGAAACCCAACAAAGACCAAAATCTGCTTTGATCCTGCCAAATCAGCAATTAATCTATAGCTAATATAAAGTATTGCTTGCCCTGGGGGCTGAGTGTAAGTAATGCTTAAAAGGTCTCTCAGGGCTTTTTAAACCCATGTATTATTTCTGGGGACAGCATGCTATTGTTGTTCTGAGTAGAGTGACTGTCATTAAGTAAAACTTGTGAGCCCCTGCACACAAATTATGATGATTCTCTGCGGAGACGGTAAAATATTGCTCTTTATAACTGCACTAATAATTACTGAGGCATTCATGTTCTTAAGCCTCTCTACCACACAGAACAAGCTCACCACAATTTACATTTCAGACTCTTTATTTTATTTTATTTACCTTTGTTCAGCTATTTCTTGTTTCAGTGTAAATTTAGTCAAAAGTCAACCAAAAAGCCCCAGTTCATTCTGTACATTATTTACAGTATAGGCTGCAAATTCCCAAGTTGCATTAGTCCACATTGATGTTTATTTTGTTGTCCCCATTTATTTTTTTAAAACTTTGCCAGGCCTCATTGCAAGAATTTAAAGATTCCCTGTAGTACAGTGCTGGAATTCACTCTAACTCCAAAATGACCTTTTTTGGAGGCCCATTTTTAATGTTAAAAAAAAAAAATCTCAGAACCTGAAACTGTTTTTGTTCTTGTGCAGATTTATATGCAATTTGTATAAAATAGGAGCGTGGAAATACACATGCCTAATTCATGAGAGAATTTGTGCCATTGTGATTACAATAGTAGAGTAGTGTGTTTTATGACTCCTGCATTCCATACTAGTAACAACACATCTGTAACGTAGATGTTGCCATCATATTGTAAGCATTATTTCTTACACCAGGGGTGTGTACAGGGGAAAGAAAATGTGTAAAAAGTGTTACTCTAAGACTAACTCTTGAGCTAGTCTCTATAATGTTTTGGTGCTCATTGTTTGCAAGTTAACTTTAAATTGATTGATTGAAATCGATTACACTGCCAGACAAGAACTCTCTCCAGATAAGTTAGCACAGTTAAGAGTTCATCCTCCCCAGTAGCGCTTGCTATCAGGACCAATATTGGCAGAAGATAAGCAGGGCTGTCAGGCAGTCATAAAAAGCTGTAAAAGTAAGCAATCACTGTTGGACATAAACAGTGATGAGCCAGGTTTTGACAGAGCTCTCAAAAGTGAAGAACATGCTGTTTTGTGTGCAGTCAGGTGAATGTACTGTTGTATGCATCAGCTCCATGATAAAATTAATGCACCGTCTAATTTAAATAGTCTAGTGCACTAACACGCTTCTCTTCATTTAGTATCATAGTTTTATATTAATGAGCAGCTATTGTCGGTTGTGTTTGGAGGTCATGCTGCAGACCTGTTGTCCTCTATACTATATAGCAGGGCTGTGATGAGATCTCACGGTATTAAAACGTGATGATATTTCTTGTTGAGGCAGAAGTTGTCTCGTGATATCACTATATAACAGAACCAGGTCAGTATGACTGAGTGTGAAAATATGCCCGCATTAATACAGCAAAAATGCAACTCCCTTATGTGTTTTCATGCACAGGGCTGTGTTGGTCACGGGGTGAGGGGTTGCAGGGGGAGTGTTGTAGGCATGTACCATGTGGCCGTGTTGTGATGAGTCGATTGAGTGGTCAGCGCAGCGCCTTTGCTGGATGATGTCACCATCCAGTGTGGTGTGTTGAGGGTGAAAATAGCATAGATTGTCACAGCTTCAGTTAGAAGTTCATGCACATTTAAAAGGTGTGAAGAGACTCCTATGAAATCATCCAGGAGAGAAGCCAGTCAGCAGAGTTTGTGGCAAAACCTTTTACTGTGCTTGTGTGTTGTCTTTTACTGTGTATAATAATTCAAACTCTAAGTAGAACTGAAGTGACATTCATTACAACATGATTAGTTCAGAATGCACCTGCATTGTTTTACATTTTGACTTTGAGCTGAATAACTTCTCCAGTCATACACTGTTCATTGTTTTACATTTTGACTTTGAACTGAATAACTTCTCCAGTCATACACTGTCATTGAAGATTTCTTGAAAATGGTGTCAAAATATCGTCATGTCTTGTTCTCGTGAGCCCAATATTGTGTATTTTCTTGTCTTGTGAGCCAAGTGTATCGTCACACCCATAGGGCAAATATGTTAAAAATGTTCAGCTTCATGATAGCTACTTTTATTCCATCATACAGGGTCCTCGCTGTCCTTTTATTATGTTTTGTTAAAAATATTTGTAGCCTTTTTTGTCAAATCTTGAAGTCCCCAGGTGTAGGAGTAAGCGGTGGTGTGACTATGATTTTACTGTGGAATTGTTAACCACCTGCTATTTGTTCCATTACACTAGGCTAACATTTAACACTTATCTTTTTACATTGGCCTTTAGTTCCTAGAAGAGCCCTGACACATTTTAGTTGCTTTTATGTGTTCCTTTATGTTCTTTGTCTGTCTAATGCCTTATGTATTTTATGCTTTTGGTTTTTTATTTTGTGTAAAGCACTTTGGTTGACTTTTAGCTGTGTTTAATTGCTATATAAATAAATGTTGATACATTGATTGGAGTCCTTATTAAAAAATAAAATGTGAAAGAGAAAATGTTTTATTGTAAAGCAAACAGAAAACATGTTTATTTCTTAGAGCTTAATACATAATTTGCATGCTACACCTAATAAGTAGAGCAGAATAGAAAACAATTGAGCTTCCTTTGTGGTATCAGAAATGCAGTAATACACAGGCCACATGCTATGTAAGTCATATCCTTTTTCCTTTCCTTAATCTCTTACAGATTGCGTTGATGACGGTCACGCTGTTCCCCATCCGTCTATTTGTTGCTGCATTCATGATGCTGCTGGCCTGGCCTTTTGCCTTCCTGGCCTCAGCAGGACGCTCTGAGACTGCAGTTGAACCCCAGTGCCTCTGGAGGAGGTGGGTGCTGTGTGTGTGTGTGTGTGTGTGTGTGTGTGTGTGGTTCAAGGTGATTTTGGTATTGGAGGAGGCACTGTAATTATTATAAACAAGTAATGGTTAGGCATTTGGCTTTAAAAGATTCATGCAGCTTTTGTGGCTTGACATCAGTAACGGCACTATACTGTAGAACTATTTGTTTTTTGCTTTTTTATGTGATTGGCCAGCTACCAGTATATTTACTGATACAACTTTTTTTGGAATGTGTTGCAGCATCAGAATTGAAGTGTTTATTTTGAACAAAAAATAAAATCGATGAGGTATCACATTAAATAATGTGCTGCTGTATTGTTTTCAATGTAATACAGGACACAGATGATTTACACATCACTATTTTCAGATTTAAATTTGATTTTATATACCTTCCCAACTTTGTCTGATTTGGGGTTGTACTTTTAATTGAAGCAGTTTGTTTCTAGTAGTTCTTTCTTTACAAAAGCGATCATAAGATCACAATTATGACAAAAAAGGTGAAAAGGGAATGAAAACAAATCCAGTTAGTTAAAAAAAAAACAACAAAAAAAGTGGCTTCAGTCCCAGCTGACACTGGACGAGAAGCTGGATACACCCTGGACAGGTCGTCAGTCTGTCACAGATCCTAGAACTTTAATAGCTGTGTAATTCTCTGTCTTATGTCTTACGCTCCCTGATTGTGTAATAGGTGTGTAATAGCACGCATCTCATCTTCTCGAACACTTGTCTCAAACAAGACTAGAATATCACTCAAAAGGTTATTGAATAAACGGGTGACTGTTATATTTTCAAAGGAGACTTGGGTATAGACTATGGTTGTAATTGAAATGTGTGGCTACATAGGTGAGAGAGCTCTAGAAAGACCTTAAAGATTTAAAATGGGTGAAGATGAGTTGGGAAAGGGGGGAAAATAGACTAGTGAAATGCAAAAAAGACAGGATTCTGCAACCAAAATAATAAATCAGGATAAATAATGTACGATGTGTTGCTTGACTTGAACATATAAACCACGCAGGTCAACAAACACTGAGTGAAATTCAAGCTTTTGTTTGTTTCCTCTGTTGTACATTTTTGAGTAATACTAATGGAGTGTGTCTTGGTGCTTTTAAACTTGGTGCTCTGAACTTCAAAATGGTCATCGTCAACTCATTTGTTCCTGACGCCTGCAATGTAATGATAGTCTTAGCAAATTGTTTGGGCAGGCATGTTGATAGTTAAGTTTCTGACTCAAGTTGTGAAATCTCACCAGTCATATGAAGAAATGCCCAGCAGGCCAAGCAGAACATGGGCTCAATCGGGCAAACAACACTAATGGCCGATGCTGTGCATGTAGTAAAGTGCATCAGAGGCTCTTATCACCACTCATTGATTCAGTTTATTTTCTGTTACTACTGATAGCTTTGGTCCTACCTAGCTGTAATTTCCATATTAACCAATGTCTTTTTTTTTTTTTTTTGAGATTACTAAAATAATATTACCAGTATAGTATATTGTTCAATAGCATTGTGTCCTCAAGTCCACAGTCTGGCACAGCTATGCTAAAAGTACTAGGCCTCAACAGTTGCATGTTGTTACTTTGTGCAGTCATGTAATTGTTCCTTTTAATAATCTAATTTGCATTGTAATGTTCTATGTATGCATTTTAATGTTGCTTCTATTTGTGTGCATTGTGCTAAGCACTTTTAATTGTCTGTGTATGAAAATTTACAATATAAATAAACTTGCCTCCTCATACATAAAGTCCTCCTCATACCTCGTATCATTTTGTTTCCAGGGTGGTGGACATAATTCTTAAGATCATCATGCGGACCATGTGGTTTGCAGGAGGCTTCCACTGGATGACTGTGAAAGGGCAAAGGGCACTGCCTACAGAAGCACCCATTCTCACCCTGGCACCCCACTCTTCTTTCTTTGACGCCATCCCAGTCACGATGACAATGGCTTCAATTGTCATGAAGGCAGAGAGCAAGGATATACCTGTGTGGGGCAGTAAGTGACATTACCTCCATCTGCATGTCCTATACTGAGAGAGAGTCAAAAGGTCATTTTTAGTGTTCCTGATCAAATTCTGATACCATTACACAGTCTCTGTGCATAGGTACCGCTGTTAAATACAAGTATAGCTGGCAAAAATAAAACCATTTCTTCCAAGGAAACACTTTGAGACAGCAATACATGCATTTATAACATCTCGCTTAGATTATTGTAACTCGCTTTATTTTGGGGTTAATCAGAGGTCTCTCTCACCTACAGAAGATTCAGAATGCGGCTGCTCGACTGCTGGTTGGTGGGAGAAAAAGGGAGCATATAATGCCTGTTTTGGCTTCTCTGCACTGGTTACCAGTGCATCTTAGAATTCATTTTAAGATTCTTTTATTTGTATTTAAGGCTGTGAATGGACTGGCACCACCTTACGTGTCAGAGCTACTGCACCCCTATTGTCCTTTGCGACACCTCAGATCAGCTGATCAGCTCCTCTTGAAGGTTCCACAGTTTAGGGTGCCCCTAAACTGTGGAATGCATTGCCTCTCCACATTAGGCAGGCCTCGTCACTGGACACTTTTAAAGTATATTTAAAAACTTATTTTTATCGTCAGGCATTTGGAAATCCACTTTTACCCTTGGGCGTTTGAGCTGGTATGAGGCGGTGTCATGTTGGGGTACCTTGTTTTAATGCTGTATGTGGGGGTTGTTGTAAGGGGATGTTGGTAATTTGTTTTGTTTATTGTTATTATGTTATTGCCGGTGTATTTTATTGTGTTGTTTCTATGTGTTTTGATTTTAATATGGTTGTGGTGTGTCACTGTGCTAAGCACTTTGGGCAGCTATGGCTGGGATAAATGTGCTATATAAATAAAGTTGATGATGATGAAGTATAGCTAATGTGTACCTAGTGTTACAATGTGCTCTGATGCAGGCAAAGCCGCTTTGTAGAGGTCAGGTCATTAACAGCGTCTATTTTTTGCTGCTATATCAGTAAATAGAGAACTGGTCGATCTACTTCGCAGGTTCTCTTTTTACATGGGCTGGGCCAAGTGCTGCATGGCCAATGTGGTAAACAAGGAAATGTGTCAACATGTAAAACAACTGCATGTCTCTCACTGCAGTGGAAGCAGAAGTTGGTTCCAAAAATAAAACCTCGAATTAGTCAGTTCAGACTCACCAACTTAATCCTGTGAAAGACCCCAACGCCCCACAATTTTACCTGTAGTCGTTTGATAGTCTTAATGATATTGTCAAACTCACCAAATGTTCCATGACATTAGAAAGCAGAAAATAAATGTTCCTCTCTGGATAAGTGTGATGGATACCACCAAGCAGCAGGCATTTCAGAAGGTTATTTGGAGTTGTTGTCTGTGAACTGCCCAAGGCCTTAGGTCAAGTAACATTTTAATTTGCAGTCAGTACACAGTGTATTAGCAGATCTTACTAACTAGCTCACTAGTTCACTTTCTAGTTGCCAAATTAACTTTGACTACGTTCACACTGCAGGTCTTAATGCTCAGATCGGATTTTTTACCGAAATCCGATTTCTTTTGTTTGCGCTGTTGTTCACACTGTCATTTAAATGCAACTCCCATCTGTCTCATGTGTGAACGGTATACGGCCCTGAGGTGACCCACATGCGCAGAAGAGGACTTGACATCAGACACAGCATACTGTGTTCGCGAAAATAAAAATGGATGCGGCTCGTGATAGCATGTGCGTAGCGATGTAGCAGTTAATGTGCAATCGAAATAAAGAAATAATAAGAAGAACATCAAGAAGGAGGTGAGCACAAATATTGCTTATGGCCTCGCCTCCTCCAGCGCAGAATTGTGACGTCTGTCGCATTTCAATAACATAAAAATCGCATGAAATGTGACATGGTCGTTCAGACTGAAGTCGCATTGCAAAACATCGGATATGTATCCGATTTAGGACCATATATGAAAGTGGCCTGGGCCGGATTTGAAAAAATCTGATTTGTGCTGTTCACACTGTCATAAGGAAATCGGATATGGGTCACATTTGGGCAAAAAGATCGGATTTCTAATGCCCCTGGCAGCAGGTCATAAGAGGTCAATATATTTTTGTCTTTTTCTGCCTACTAACTAGGCAGAGTAGACACTTTGTTACCTTGAGACTAAGTGCAGTTTGCAGTCTTACTTTCATGTATTGAAGGGCTAAAATTATGGACGCAATTCTCACTGGCAACTTGACATTACTGTCAGCAACATGCTGTCAACTAAGATGATGTTCTTAAAAGTAATTAATTAACAGTGACTTTATCTTAGAATTTAAGGATTCACTTCATTGAATTTACTGGGCTGTCCTCAAAATGTAAAGTAAAGACCAACCAATAATGTGTTTGTTCAACTTTTTTCAACTTTCATTTGACTAGTTATTTTGGTCTTGCAGTTATGAACCAGTACTTGGCCAAGCAAGTAGAATCCAGAATAAGTATTGAGATCTGATCAGCCACAGTGACGTGTCTCTCAGGGTACTGGCTGGCACCCTAATCCCTCTCTGCTAGCAGACATCGGACAGGTGGAATCAATTTCTTTTTCTCATGGCTGCACCTGCTTCTATCTTCATCTTATCTTACCCTCACTCTCTAGCTTTTTTCTTTTTTATTCTTTTTTTTTTTTTCTCAGGGGTTGGGTTCACAGACATTTAAGACTGGTCTGTAGTGTTAGACCAGTATAAAATTTGCTCAGACTAATTCAATGCAAG